TATCAAACTTGGTTTTGGTTTTGTATTCTGGGTCAAGGTGTTCTAGCAGAATATGGCGTGGATCAGCAAGTCTCTCGCATATGATACGACACATGATACGACACATGACAGGAGTGTAAATCTTCCAGAAAGATGAATGTTCCTTGTCCTTCAATGGGACAAAAACAATTAAAGATGCTAAATAAAACCCACACACAAACAATGCTCAAACGGCTCTTTCTGTAAATTCATGGCCACAGCTTTTTAGATCATACTTCTGAAGTGTATTATTACATTATGATACAAATAAAACACAAACGCTATTTCCTTTTTAGTAGTAGTAGTAGTATCGTATTTTCTCTTGCTGGTGACAATGCAGATCTGTTTTGAACTGGTCTCTTGAGAGTAGAAATAAAAAAACGTGTCTAGTTTGGCCCGAACATCATTCCTGTTGTCTGTCAGTCTGCGCTTGCTTCCCCCCCCCCCCCCCCCACCCCACACTTTGTCTATTTTTGCATAATTGTTTGCTTGTTCTCTTCATTATCTCTCCATCTGGAATTCAGCTCCCTGCAGTGATAAACAGAAGGCCCCTCTCAGTCTATTTCTCCTTCCTTCTCTCTCTGCAGCTCCATGTACCTAGATGAGATGTAATTGTGATTAACAGCGCCATGACAGGAGGACACGAGACTTTTGTCATGTCGGAAAAACAAACAAACCAAACCAACGAGATAAAGTGATGGAAATATGTACAACATCTTATCACAGATGCTAATTGTTTCCGTGTGGGAGGGGAGTGTGCCCGCGTGGATATCAGCGGTGCACGTGAGGGAGGGAGGGAGGGAAAGAGGAACTTGAGAATATCCTCCCTGTGCGTTTGGCCTGCGCCTGACTTCAGAGCTAAGCCCTCTCTCAAGAGAAGGTCAACACCAGGTTCAACTTTTCACCTCGGCCGGTCTGAGGGAACACACTAAATACCGAGGATTCCGCCACAGTGCGCGGCAATATCGCCTGGCCTTCGCTGCATTTCTGAACAGACCGGCACAGCGCATATCAAAACCACAAAAACTCTATAATGCATTTTCAATTTAAAACAAATACCACAACAAATGATCTTGCACCAGGGTTAGACTAAATGAAAAATAATCATATAGATGCATGTGCTGGAGAAACAAAAGCATAGCTCAGGACTGTTTTTGTTGTTATTTTGTTACTCTTATTTCCTTGTATTTTCTTATAAAGCGCACTATATAAATATGATATATTATTATTATTATTAATAACAGTATAAATCTGCCTAAATATTGAACTGCAGATATGCAGCTATGTTTTATTTCCCAAATTGGGATCAATAAAGTACTATCTTATCTTATTTACATTATAATCATGCAAGTTGCTTTTTAAAACTTAGATCACTTGCAAACTAAATTAAATGAACACCAATGAACTTGCAAAGCCAGCAGAACATCAAAGGCAACACCATGCTCTCCTGTACTGAAGGGCCCAGTGGGCTGACTACAGCGGCGGGGAGTCGGTGAACCTTGTTTAACTTTTGGGCATCATGTCTCGTGGTGCAATGTATATGAGAGTGTGTGTGTGAATGTTTTAACATGTGTGTGTGTGGGTAAGGCGATGTCAGCGTCGGTCAGGTGTAACCGTACAGACAGACAGGCAGGCGGCCGGCTGGCGTCAGCGGCCACACGCCTGTCACGACACACCACACGCCGAGGAGCCGCATACCGCAGCACCCACACTGCGTACACACAATGAGCGCTCAGTCCCCGCATCATGCACCAGCGGCAGCAGCAATGTGAAATATTCACACAGGGACAAAAGGTAGAGAGCCGGGGGGGGGGGGGGGGGGGAACCTGGGAGGTGAAGACAGAGGAAAGGGATTCAAGAAAGTGGAAGAAGTCACATGAAATAATAACTTGTGACAAAGTTGAGCACGCAGACAGGTCTCACTGCACTGATGTTTGAAGGAAGGCATGTTTGCATGTTCAAGTTTTGCAAACTAAGAAAAAAAAGTTATCTCGATCATTTTGAGAATAATTAAAACAACTATTTTAGATGTATTTTACAAGTACTTTAACTTTCTATTAAATCCATTGCAATAATTATTAATCATTATTAGGCGCGGAAAAATCTGTTACACAGTTAGTCAATTGACATTTAATCATTACCATTTTCAATAATCAAGTTATCGTTTCAATCTTATGTTTGGGAGTATGTATAAGAAATATTCTACATTTTTTAAATGTTCCTGTTCTTTTTTGCAATATTTAACATCTTTGGTTTTTGTCTGTTAGACAAAATAATCAGTTTCACAATGTCGATTTGGGCCCAGGAAACTTGTTTTATGGACGATAAAACAATACATAATATAAAAAATAACTAAATATTCATTATTATTGAAAGTATTAATCCTTATATGCAGCACTAACACACACACAAACTTGATGTCAATCTCCGCCTCAAAATATTGCAGAACTTTCCACGTGAAACTAATTATCTTTAAAATGTTGCAACACTTTCACTACAAATAACTTTATAAGAGCTAAAAAACGAAGTATTATTCCTCAGTAGTCAGACTGTGGGACCTGAGCTGAGAGACTACAGATGTACTACAGCTCTCTCCCGCCCTCTGGTGGAGAAGCAGCAGACCTACACTAACGCTCTGCACTTCTGCATGACCTCCTTAGTGAACTCTTAGTCTGACCTGATGTTTCGAACCTTGCAGGGATCTGGTGGATGAACAGCAAAGATATTAATGTCAGCCATGTGTGAAGAGGTCGCTTTAGCATTTTCTGCAACCAGGGCCGAATGGAGTACAGTGGGGCCCTCTCAAGCTATCGCCGACACCCTGAGCCCCGCACATCTGGTGTTAATCAGGAAAGCTTACACAAACACACACATACAAAGAGACAGACACACACAAGCAAACACTTCTGCAAAGATCCCCTTAAGAAAATCCCTCTCAACTCCTGAACTTCCGACATGACTGGGGTCAACACACTTGCCCTGGATATTTAGTACACACACCAGAGCCATGTAATAAGAGCTGTTGAGTTGTTACAGTACAGTGTTCACACACACACACACACACACACACACACACACACACACACACACACACACACACACACACACACACACACACACACACACACACACACACACACACACACACACACACACACACACACACACACACACACACACACACACACACACACATTTTAGAATCGGCATTGGAAAGTGTACAATAAATGCAAAAGACATAAATCCAAATGAGGGATATAAAAAGGACAACATAAAGAGAAAATGTGTGTTCTTAGCTAGTGATAAAATAAAGACATGACCAACCAGTCACTACACAGCATTGTAAGAGTTATTACATCACTGAATAAAGGACCCGATAGCTTAGTTTGTGCTAAATTACGTAAGATTTTAACAAAGCTATATGACAAAAACACCACTGTATGTCATTCATGCAATTCTTCAATTAAAAATGAGAAAAAGAAACTAAAAATGTGATTAGTAAAAGGTATTTTAAACTTTCATCAATGAACTCGCATTTACATTCTAAAAAGTGAATCCTTTGGTGGTTGTTATCTTTTAGACTAGCTGATAATAACTCTAGGCTCAAGTTAAAGTTGTAGGAATATAAGGGAATGACCTATTGTCCTCATTCTTCGTACTTAAAGATGATAAAAGCTTTATTTTCCACACCGAACAGGTAAAACAAAGCGAACAAGGAGAATCAGGAAATAATTTTTCACCAAAGACATTTCGACAAATCACACAATGACTGCTGTTATATATATAAGTGCTGTGAAAAGGGGGAAATAGTATTTGGTTTAATTTTAGAATAATTATGTTTCAATCTTAAAAATGTGTAGAGCAAAAATGTAAAGGAACATTAATAAACGTGATGCAACAAATCATGTTTAAACGTACTGCGGGTGATATGAATACAGTATATATGAATGATGTGTACTGCTGTAAACTATAGGCTTACCATGGGTCTTTATGTGTGGCTTAGTGAGTGTGAAAATGACAAACCTCCGTCCACACGTTTATTCGACACCCGTTTCTGGTCTTCTCTCTTCAGGTAAGGAGTAGCCAAGAAACAGTCTCCTGGCCCATGAGGAAGATTCTACAGGGCGACATATACAAACATGTTTGAGTATAAGAGATACTTAATAACACCCCAATTACAGTGAGTCAGAAAAACTCATGGCTAGCTAAAATATTTTAAACTTCAACCCCATGATTAGCCCCAATAATTTGTTAGCTAAAAACATTAGCTAGCTTGTGTGAAGAAACGGTTAGTTAGCTTGGGGTAGATTTGCGTGACTTTAGCGGCACAGTGTTGTGGTAATTGTGCCAAATTCATCGGTTAGTATCTTTGTAGTCTTTTCGTTTGTAAAAGTGAAATAAACTGATGAAAAATAGCTAAAATAGCTAAAATCTCACCTTTGTGTGGCTTGTCAAACACTGTTTTCGAATGCGGCGTCTTCTTTACCTCCCGTTGCCAGCGCAACAACAAACCGTAATGAGCTCACTGCTGCCCCTTGTGGCCATACAACTAAACACAAGGCTCTATCTGCGCATGCGCTTTAATGACATTCGCCAAATGGCCATGGCAAAAACAATCCAAATAAATAAAATGCCACTGTATAAATCCTCTGACAAACAAGGTTTAATGAAGCAGTACTCTGACTTAATATAAACTTGTACTAGGTATAGGAAATTATAGGAGATCTCCACTTTGAATATAGTATTTGTCATATCTTATTTTACTGTACTGTTTCTTGTATATCTATACTTTGTACAAATATTATGTTTATTTGTTACAATAGTTTTTATAATCGTATTATTTTTTGCTCCTTTAAAAAAATACCAGATTCTTCTTTTGATATCTGCTCCATTTACACCAAAGCAAATTCCTCGTATGTGAAAATCTACTTGGTTATAAACCCGATTCTGATTCTGAAAAGCTACAACAATCAAACACAAACTGGTGTACATGTACATTTATTGTCATCACATACAAAAAACATAGGCCCAACATTTTTTTATTTAAAGAGCAAAAATTCCCTGTAACATCTAAAAAAATATATACCAACCTGTGGCCAGAAACAGCTGTGTTGGTTTTACCTTTGAATCTTAGAGATGATAAAATACGTTTGTGCACAATTTCAATAATAATATCACAAGAAGTACATCCATAGATGATAATTTATCTGTGATGGTGCAAAGTTGGCATAAAGCCCAGATATGGCAAAAATTAGAGTTGAAAAGTACAAAATGTGGTTGTGTTTTTTAACGTACCGGTGTACAGGTTTCAACTTTTTCGAAGCGAAATCAAGTTGTGTATAGTTGTATACAAATGTGTATGCGATAAGGTACATTCAGTTTAAAGGCAATGGTATGGTTTGTATGTGAAGTATGCAGACGTATAATTCTATGACAGCCGGAAATTGGAAAGCAACATAATATACCTGACAGCAGTACATCAAGAATATAGTTGCACCAGAGTGCACAAATTGTCATTCACATTGTCGTTTTTGGGAAGCAATGTCCATCATGAGATCAGGAATCATAATTGTTATTTTGTATCGCCATTAAATAAGACTGTAAGGATCCTGGGATTTATAATGTTTGTTTCAGAATGTGTGCAATGTTGAAATGAACACTCAATGTGGCTCACTATAACCTGCAATCTCTCACAAATAATAATGTGGTCCCAGTGCATTGCTACTGGGATTAAAACATTTCTACATTCAAAAATCAGCCTTGAAAAAGCCCTGACACAACGTAGTCCGAGGCTTCTCCATCAATAAGGCCAGCTCCATCATTGTTAGCAAACCAGCAGGGAATACTTTTCCCATTCTTCACATCCCTGCTGAAGTCCTTCTGCCAGTGTCTGCGAATTAGAATTAAAAAAAAGCTGAAACACTCCTTGAACTTGTATGCGTTATGTGTTTGTGTGTTTAAACCATATTACATATTACCTGGTTACGTTGAGTATTTGTCCCTTCACATACATGGTGGCATCTATTTTCTCCTTGTTCTTATGTGGATGCAGGTCTGTCAACTCAAACCCAACGCCATGGTAGAACTGACCTGGAGGAAGATTATTTGTATAAAATAAGGAATCAGGAAACATAAAAAAAGCTGCACAGTGATTGCATAATTAAAGGAAACTAGATCTTTACCTAGCAAACCATGAACCGAATCAGACAAGTGGTGACTGTCCAGGTTGTAGAAACCCAGGTAGTCCTGTTGGTCGTGGCATTTCTTCCAAACCTTTGTGTGTCTAATGACCTCAAATTTAACCGAGTGCTTCAGCGTCACTGTCAGGCTGCAGTTCTTAGTTAACCTGAGGTCCATACTGGAGGAGAGACAAAGGTAGTTAGGTGTATTTGTGATTCACAGGAACCATGAAAAGCAGAGTGAAGATTTATTTTTCAATGCAATTTTAGGTCCATTTAGTTTTCAGTGTAAGACTATTAGAATATATTTACATACATTAATTAAATAAATGTTATTGAATCAATGGACATTTTAACACATTCTCATTTTAAACTAGAAAATCAGCAGATTAATTCCATACAAGATATTTTTACGAGCCAATAAAATGAGGCACGCAACTTAATTGATAAATCTATGTGCTCTGTCATCTTTGCCATGAATTTTTGAAGGTCTAAGCATAAGTATTTGTTTTGTGTTTACCGTAATTAAAAGTATTTCAAAAACATAAAATCAAAAGTTAAATAGAAACTTTCTTTACATTCATTTTAAAAAGCATTTTATCCTGGCATGACCAAAATGACAATATTCCTCCTATTACTTTTAGATAATATTTGTAAGGCAATGTTACTCACTTGGTTTCTTTGATAGAGGTTGTATCGGACCACAGCAGCTTGACCTGCTTGCCTTCGTGGAAAACTGAGATTTCCTGCGTGCTCACCTCCAGCCTCACGCCCAGCTTCTGGTGGATGATACCAAAACGGCCAAAGTAGGTATTGATCTTACCATGCGGATCAATTTTCTTCCTGCCGATAATTTGGCCGTTCACCACAAAGCCTGAAATAATGACACGTTTTAGTTTGTTGGCCTTTCTTTGGTTTTTCACAAAAAAAGTAGAACTCTAACTCACCTGGTATTGGGTCTCTGACCAGGTTGAAAACGGTTCCTGGTTTGTCGTTGATGTTGAAGCATAGAGCCTCATCTCTGTCTGGCAGCTCTATCATGAAGTGAGGATCCCCGTCCGCTGCACAAACATTAAAGTGTCATGTCAGGAAAACAAACATGTAGCCTATAAGAGTCAAACTCAAGTTTGTAACTATGATATTTTAATACAATCTTAAGCAGCTCTAAAACCATTCCTCAGTGCAGCAATGTGAGAAAAATACTTTTTGAACATTAAAGGGGACCTATCATGCAAAATGCACTTTGTGATGTCTTTTATACATAAATATGTGTCCCCGGTGCGTCAGGGGAACTCACGCAGCGTCAGAAAATAAAACCCTCTCTCTTTTCCTCCGTACCCAAATCTTTTAAAAATGGGTGTACAACGAGCGGATACAGATTTGCTGCCGATCTGAAGTCAAATCGGCAGCGGACCCACAGAAAGTTGCTATCAGAAACAATGCCTGACGTGTTTTGGACGTAATCTCGTCTTTTTTTACATTAGCAAGCCTCGCTAACACTCAGAGCTAACCTGTACTTTAGAGCACATGTGTTTAAAAAGCAGGAAATAAAAAAAAGGAACTCACCTTGTGATAAACCTGCAAGAGAAAAAGCATTTGAGCTCCATACTGTTTCAGAAATAATTCCTTGATGTGGTTTAGAACAGGATAGCGTTTTTATCACAGCAGAATTTAACTTTATCTCCTGTAGAATTCTGATCAGGCATTAGCTCCGCCTCCTCTTTTTTTTTTTTTCAAGCTAAGGACCCAAAATCCGCATTTCTCTAACAGGGCTGCAAAAGAGGGGTATGAGCAGTATGAGGGATGGCTACAATGGGGAATCTGTTTGGTATTTTAAGCAAAAAACTTCACAGACATGTTTTGTATAGGTATGGCCCTACAATATATTTTTCCAATATAGCATAATAGGTCCACTTTAAAGCATGTAAACATGTCACAGTAGAGGCACAAAACACAAATATGAACCTGAAATTAGCACAATATGTCCTATTTTACGACAGGAAATAAACAAAATGGAAATTGTTAAATGTCACAGGATTCATAACCTTAGATCTGATATGGCAAACCGCTGTAATTATTACATTTGAAGATTTAAAGGTCCCATGTCATGGCCATTTCTACTGATCATAATTCCATTGTTGAGGTACGGGCCGTCTCCACGGCAGCGTTAAAAAAATCTTGGAGGTGGGCGTATCTGAAGCTTGAGGATTTTTTGCGAGCAACCAATCACATGAATCTCCCGCCCGCGACATACGAAGCAAAAAAGCCCGAAGTAAACTGGATATAAACTCCCCAAAACAGGCGAAAACCTACCACTGTCTCTGCCACCTCCCTCCATGCCTGGCTCCTCCGGTTTATATCCCGGTAGGTCTGGTCATAAAGCACCGGGTGATTGATTCGCTACCGCTAATTTCTCCTCCATTTTTTGGAATATGAGGAAATGACCTGCGGTATTTCTCTCCCAGCATACACGCCGTTTGATTGGCTAGAGCTTGAACTGTCAGATTTGCGTACACGGGATTTGATTGGCTGACGCTTCCACCTCAGCCTCAAAAGTTGAACATTGTTCAACTTTGGATCTTGAAAATCCTGAGAATCTCCGCTCGCCTGCCCACAATGCATTTCGGCGAAAGCGAAAAAAAGTGACGTCACCCCATTCAAAGTGAATGGGCAGAAGCGTTTCAAGATTTTTTAACGCTGCCGTGGAGACGGCCCGGTATACTAAAATAAATGTATATTGTGCAATTTTCCAAACTCACATTGGTTTCTCATACAGCATCTCTGTATAGTATGTGTATTCACTCTCTGTCCTAAACGGCTTGTTGGAGCTCCTTCCCCCCCCTCCCTGTGAGCCCAGTGGCCGTCTGCGAGACAGCGAGACACAGCGAAACCCAGCCCGGAACACACACACACCCGCAGCCTGGCTGGGAGTTTGTGTGTGTGCCCAGGCTGAGTTCCGCGGTGTCTCGCTGTCTCGCCGACCCCACACCAGTGAGCCAGCTCACAGTGTCCAGCTCCTCGCAGCAGCGAGCCTCGCAACCTCCTGCCGAGTGTGTGTGTGTGAGGAAGTCCGCGGATTGGTCAAAACGTAACGGCTCCGCGGACACCACTACAGGGTGTACTTTGAGGGTTTGTGACTCTGCAGACCGTTTACAGCTACATAACACACAAGGCGACGGGTAATAACCAGAAAAGCATGACATTGGACCTTTATGTTAAAGTGACAGGGGAAATTAATGCATTGATATGATAGATTGATGTGATAGTAAAACTGCTGCTGTATGAAAAGCTTACCACTGCTGGCACGGGAACTGCTACCACTGGCACGGGAACCGCTACCACGGGAACTGCTGCCACGGGAACTGCTGCCACGGGAACTGCTACTTGCACCACTACTGCCACCACTACCGCCACTACCGCCACTAGCGCCACTAGCGCCACTAGCGCCACTAGCGCCACTAGCGCCACTAGCGCCACTAGCGCCACTAGCGCCACTAGCGCCACTACTGCCACTACTAAATGATTTGGCAAAGATAGGACTATGGTGTTGTCTCCTACTGGCCGAAGAACCTGTTATGAAAAATAATGAATGCTTGTTCGGCCCAAAATGTGATTGATGAAGTCACATGATTACATTAAAAGTGATTGTCATACCTGTGTGTTTTTCTGCTTTCTGTCGCTGGTCTGAGAAAGTATAGAAAACACACAAAACAAAGTTAGTTTATTGTCTTTGGCATATTCTACATACACTTTTTGATTTAACCTATAATATACCACGGCCCAAAACTATAACATTAGGAGAAACACGCTGCAGCTTCAGAAACAATGCAAAACTTGTGTCTTGTTGTCATCATTTTTCTTTTTCAACCCTTGTGTAGCATACGTACAGTATAGCTATCAGAATATTGTGACTATACATTTGATAGGTATATTTCTTTAATGAAGGGTTGCATGTTTTATTAAATGACTTCACATAAACGTTTTATGTAGGTTATCGAATAAATACGGCTTCCAAGGGTTAAATCTGGTCAAACCTTTTCTAATTTTCTTCTCAATTATGACAGGCATCGTTATACAAACATGACAGACAAACTAAGGGTAGCCCACAGATGGATCTAACACTGTCTTTATGTGACTTCCTGTATATTCTTTGACGGCTGCTTGAAACTGTCCGATTTAACGGCAGCTTTTTGCACTACGCCCTACTGCTTCCACCTGATCTCGTCCATTTCCACTTTGAATATTACCCTCAGTCAGTTTGTCAGCGATGAGAGGGCTGTCTGGTCCATCCTCAGTGTCAGGCTTAGTGACCACCATGGAGGTGAGAGGGGTGACGAAGCTGTATTGCACAGACATGTCCAGGGCCTTGGCAGTCCCATTGCCTTTCTCCTGCTCAGTACCAATGTCACTGGCAGATTTAAAAAAAGAGAGATTTGATAAGTTGAGTGTTTTTTAATGACATTGGAGGCGCTAGGTGCAACAAAAATATGCACCATGAAATTATTTGAATTCCTTTGAATAATCTGTCATTATTGATGGAGAATCTTGCTTCAAATCCTGGACAGGTAGAGATAAAACTGACAGACACATTTCCAATTAACAAACCTGTTCTCGAGGAGCTGCTGGATGGTGAGGTAGGCCCACAGACGCTCAGAGAAATTCCCAAAGATGTACTCTTGCTCAGGGTAGATCAGATCTAAATTGATCTCACTGGCCTTTCCCTGTTCCTGAAAGTCTTCTTCGGACTTGAGAAGGAGGAGAAATGTAATGAGTTATTACTGACAGCAAAGTTATTTGTAGTTTTATTTGATAAAAACAAGACTGAGAGTCTAAAGCATCGCTAGCAGCGCTTTGAGGCTAAATGCTAACGTCAGCTAACATGGTCACAATAACAGTCTTACAAGTATATATCTTAGCAAGCTATCATGCAAACATGTAGAGTACTTTTAAGCACAAAGCATAACTGTGGTGTAGGGAATAACAATAGTTTTGAAGGTATTTGATTGTAAAACAAAGTATTTGACCAATTTAAATGTTGACCTGATGATTAAGCCTCAAGACAAATGTAATGGACCATGTCAGTAGGATGGTTCCTTTTGACTGTATGTACAAAATTACATTAAAATCCACCAAAATTGTTGTATTTTTCAGTCTCAAAGTGAAGTGAAGCCTTGAAAAGTAAAAAAGGAACATGATAGCATAGTGACTTAGGCTACAGCAATCTACTTAAGTTTAATTTCTTTAAAAATACTACACTTAGCATTGAATATTCAGTGACAGGAACTGTCTCGAGAAACAACTACTATACAGTATACAGTAGAGCTTTTTCATGCTTATTGGCATATTACTGCCTATTCCTCACCCCCTGAGCGAACACTTCCACCATGAAGTTGTCCAGGTCGTTGTCGGTCAGTCGACCCGCCACCACGATCTCTGAGCCGTTAAACAGCTGGCTGTAGTGGTTAGTCGTCAGGGAGTCCACTGCGTTCTCAGGATAACGCAGGTCCACCTCCAAGAGCAGAGGGTTGGCCACCTCATCATAGAAACCCTGGAACAAAGACATACTCCAAATCAGGCCTTGTCTGTTCTCTATTGTTTGGGAATATATATGACAAATATTCCCAACCTTGCATGGACATTATCATTATTTTGTTTGATCTTTATCCAAACCTGGAGTTGTACGGCTGCATCCGAACCCTCATAGATCCTGCGGGCTACTCCCTTGTTTTGTTTGCTCATTACATCCAGGAAGGAGTATACCACATCATTTCCGAATCCAAGACAGAACATAGACATCTTCCCGTTGATAGCAAAGCGCACATTCTCCTGAATCTGTGGAAGCCTTGACTCCCCTACATGCAGAAACACAAGTGTTATTTCTAAGCATGCAATAAAAGCATTGTGATTTCAACAAGATAGTTACTCAGCAAAGTTGTAAAGAGTCATTTAGAAAAAGGTAATCTTCATTGGGTCTTTTTTGAAAAATGGGTGTTTCAGAAAGAAATCAGTAAGAACAAATCCCTTTTGACTTTCTGACACCCCTAATTCAATAAAATGCTTATGCAGAATGCACAAATCTTATTATAATCTTCAAATCAAGACATCTTACCGCTGTTGGGCATCCCGTCAGTCAGTAAAATAATCATATCTGTACTCCTTTCTGGCAGGTTCATATCTTTTCTTTCTTTCTCCAGCATTTTCACTGCCCTCAGTACAGCGCCATTGATATTGGTGGCTGAAAAGAAATAATACAATGAGCAGGTAAACATGAACATTTCCTGAGATAAATTACAACCTAGGAAACAAAGTAACAATCCTCAATAGGAATAGTATAGCATTTTCTACAACATTTATTTTCTTCGTGAATCTTATATGAGATGAGCAATAACACTGCTGTCAACTCACTTTAAAGCAACAGTCAGTATCATGGTGTTATGGGAGTGAGTCTTTCTCCCTTGTTGACACATTTTAAATGTGTAAATATTTAAAGGTCCCATGTCATGCTTTTCCGGTTATTACCCGTCCCCTTGTGTGTTATAGCTTTTTATGCATGTAAACGGTCTGCAAAATCACAAACCCTCAAAGTACACCCTGTAGCGATTAAAACTCTAACACAGAAAATACCTGTCTATGCTGCACCAGAACGCCTCGTTGGAGATTTTTTTCCTGGGTACAGTGATGTGACCATACCCAAATGGTATGCGGGTGCTAGTGGAGCCTCGCAGACCCCATGCAGCAACCAGGAAACTACACCAGTAATAGAGCTCACACTGTCCCCTCCTCACAGCAGCGAGCCCCGCAACGTCCCGCCAACACGGCACCCAGACCCCACGCAGCATTCTCATCTGTTTGTCATTACTGGTGTCATTTTCTGGTTGCTAACAAACGCCATTGTAACACATAATCACTGATGTTCCGCTGTAACGGTGGTGGACTCATCAGAACAGAGTGGGCGAGCTGACCAATCAGAGCACAGTGGGCTCATAGGGAGGGGGGGTCAGGAGCTCCAACAAGCCGTTTAGGACAGAGAGTGAATACACATACTATACAGAGATGCTGTATGAGAAACCAATGTGATTTTGGAAAATTGTACAATGTAAATCTATTCTAGTAGACCTCAACAATGGAATTATGATCAGTAGAAATGGCCATGACATGGGACCTTTAAATTAATCTGATTAGGAAGTGCACATCAAATATGGCATACAAGTTGGTACCACATGTTTTCTTCTTACATCCATTGTCTCTTATCTTCTTGACGTAGGCAATGGCTTCAGTCACATTTGTCTGTGTAGCTTTGGTAAGATAGTTCTTCCAGGTGATAATTTGATTGTCAAACAGGATAAGAGCAAAGTGGTCCTCTTCGTGGAGGTCTTTCAGAATGGCAACCAGTGCATCGCGGGTCTGCAAAGGTACCGAAATTAACACATGAAGATATACAAAACGGTGTTGCATACAGTATGGATTTCACTTACACAAAAAGCATTTTACCTGACGCATCTTTTGTCCACTCATTGATCCACTCCTGTCAATCACAAACACCACATTCTTTGGGACTCTGGGCAGGTCAGGAGGAGCGAAGAAGTGCACAAAGTATCCGTTCACAATCTGAAGGGAAATAAAGCACTTGTTCAAGGCTATTATGAATATATAATACCAGGCCAAAGCTATGCTAACATTCAAAGGAATATGGAAGTAAAACTAAGATCAGGAGTAAAATACTATTTTTCATTTTAAAGGGATCTTTCAGAATGTTGGAAATAAGATAAGATAAACGTTTATTGATCCCCAGTTGTTTTAGCAGCAACAGTAACAAGATAGAACAATAACCTGGTTTTGACAGGGGCAGCAAACAACGTACTTTAGCCAGCTCAAAGAAAGACCCACCTCAAAAAATCTATTAGTTAAAGTGTATTTTAAGAATATTTTTAACCTAATGGATGACAGCTCTTTTTGAAGAGGAACTTATGTTGACTTCAGAGCGTCGAGATCCTATGACAAAAACAATAATGTTACCTCGCAAAACCCAGAAGATACTATTCACCAAAGTAACATAATAACACTAACAAACTTACCAATTGGGCACAGGTGAACCAGCAACATCTGTATTTTGTGAGGTAAAATTGTTGTTTTTGTCAACAAGTCTCGATTGATATAACGGCCTATGCTTCTCCCTATAGGAGAAAGCTGTTTGACAAGAAGGTAACGCAATATTTAAAAAAAGCAAACACTTAGACTGAAATTGTTTTTTTTGGAGGGATTCTTTTAAAGGGCAAAAATGTGTTTTGCTGACGCGCTCTTCCAAAACAACATTGCTTTACTTCAGTACTTCTGTTTCTCTAAACGTGGGACGTGATGAATGCAATCTAATGTAGGTAGAATAAGGATAAGTAGTTCATAAAATCTGAACAATCCCTTTAAACCTAATTTAAAAATGCTGTAAGCTATCCAAAAGTCTATTTAGGCTTTGCTCCTATAGCTTATAATATTGTGAGTCTTATGTGCTGCTGAAAAGTCTTTGTTGGCTCCTGACCTGAACTTCCCCGAGGCCCTTTTTTCGTTTCACATCGTACTTGATGATGAAATCTCCTTCAATGATAGTGCCTTCACATCCTGGACATTTCCTCTGCTGATCCAGTGTTGGAGAGAAAGAGATGTGTGCCTGAGAGCCAAAAAAAAATATATTTCATGACATTATTGGAGACATCATTATTGCTTAAAATAATCATCATAATGTTCAGAAGCTTAGAAATCTGTCTACCTTTGTGTCTGTGACGGTTTTCTTCACCAGGGGGAGCAGCTCGTTGGAGAGGAAGGTCGCAGTGGTCTCAACAAAAGCAATACCCTGAGGCTCATAGATGTTTGTCACAATCTGTCTCAACACACACGCACACACACACACACACACACACACACACACACACACACACACACACACACACACACACACACACACACACACACACACACACACACACACACACACACACACACACACACACACACACACACACACACACACACACACACACACACACACACACACACACACACACACACACACACACACACACACACACACACACACACACACACGTTATCACTGAGGCAGATCAAGTGTGGACAGGCAGCTTTCCAGCTCCTCCTGACCAGTATGTTGTTACGAAGTAGAATAGAGGAGGAGATCATGTCCAACCTGGAAGTCCTGCACCGGTTGCTCCGGTTTAACTCGGGTCAGAATCTCATACTGGCCCAGTTTCCTCTGAAGGAGCTCCTCGTAGGTCAGAACGAAAGTCACGCTGCTGTTGGCGGCGATATTGACAGAGACTGAAAACTTCTCCATCTTTCGTCCAGAAGCCCTGTAATGATGGAAGTGTGTTACTTTAATATTCACACAACGGGTTCACTGTAAAATGTTTCAGTCCAACATACTTCACCAGTCCAGCAGTCTGTCCAGAGGAAACAGCCTTCTCATATTGTTTCTTAGCTTTCTCTTTCTCCTTTACATCTCCAACGTACATCTGACCGTCGATTTCCCTGTGAGGAAGAAAGAGACTGTTAAAAAATATGCTGGAGAAAGTTTTTAGATACCACACTGTAAAAAAAAGTCCTGAATGAAAATGTACTAAATGTATTAAAAGCAGACCATAAAAATCAATTTTACCAATATAAATCATTAAAATAGTAAAAAGGTAATGCAGCAAATTCTATCCAAATATTTGAGAAGCTGGAACTATAAAAAATGACTTCAATCGTTATCAAAATATTTGCCAAATTATGGTCTGTTAATATATCAAACAAGCAATAGATGTGCTTCCTTTTTATAGGTTTTAAAATCTTAATATGTAAAAGTAATAGAGAATGAAGTTATCAAATAATTTAAGTGGAGGAAAAAGCTAAATATTTAGTACAGTATTGGAGTAGATAGTGACATGAGATTAAAATACAAGTTCTTTCAAATTGTACTAAAACACTGTACATTTAACCACCATCTGTGCTCACAGTTAAAAGTCAAAGACATTTGGACTGACATGCTGAAGTTGGCGATGAAGGCGGTTTTGGGCAGGTCCACCTCGAAGAAGATTTCCTGGGAGGAGTTAGCTCTGTTCAGAGCCTTGGAGGTCATGACGGTGTGGGCGAAACGTAACGTCACGGTGCAGTCCACCCTCACGCTGTACACCTCCACCATCTGAAAGGGATGAACACAGTTTCATCCTGCCTCAGTTACCGTCATTCTCCATCTGTCCACCAGATGCCCTCAGACTTTCCTACTTCCCTTGTCTGTCCTGCATTAACCTCTTCCCCTCCCCACTTTCCCACTTTCCCTTCTAAGCCCTGCAGTATTAACCCAGCCCTTTTTCTACTCACGCACTGTCACATTGTTCCCTGTCCTTCTCTGTCGGCTCCATTCCTGTTTTACCGGGACCATCATTAAGATCTGTTCAGGCTTGCCTCCAACCAGTAAAACCTTTGTTTTTTCTTGTTTGCCAATACATCACTAAAACCCTCCTGTCGCCTGGTCTGTCTGCTTTATGGCTCTCACACCCTTGTTGTAATTTGACACAAAATACCCAAAACCTGTCATGCCGAATATAATACGATGATATGATGATACTTTAAGTTCAGTTTGAGTCTGAATTTGTTCTTGCACCACAGAAGCTCCATTTGCATCATCCACAGGGACAAATAAGAAACAAGGCAACAGACACTTAACGTCACATTATAATCACAAGAGAATTTCCCAACCATACATTTCATGTGGGATTTAACTCTGTTTTAAAATAAAGGATTTAAACCTCAGATCAAATGTAAGTTTAAGGGTTGAGTTAAAATGCTTTCTAAACAGGAAACAACATCAATAAGTTATACCCACAACCAATATTAAAACATGATATCACAGCAAGATCAGTGGCTAAGACAACTGGCAGCTGGTTGTTGTCTCTCTACTGAGTTGTGCATCGGATGTCATGAGAATTGTCCCCTTAATGGAAAATTCATGTCACAAAACCCAGATAGGTCAGTGTTATGTAAACACAATGTGAGATGGAACTTTTATAGATAAGAATAAATGCTCAGAGAGACAAAAATCACTTCCCGCATGTTTATTGTCTCCAGCAAAGCACAGAGAGGAATACATGCATGCCAATGGGCACTGTGGGGGAAAGAGTGGACATCTGGAAGCAATGAGCTTTATACAAAATGTGGACTTGATTTTTCACACAGTAACAATGGCACTACTGTGAGATAGAAGCTACCAGTCGCCATGGCCATGTGTATTGCATTATTATATCCATATTTCACAATGACTTTCCCAGTGATTGAACCTGATACAATTGGTTACTTACATTTGCAGGGTTTGTGCTTCGTTTCTGTAGAGGAAAAAGAGACAAAGATATAATTGACGAGTTTATTTTTACAATCAACATTACAGGGTGAAAGGAACATATAAACACAGCTGAGTACTTTATATTATTGCAAGTAATTGTAATTGTAGTACCTTTATTGACCTGGGGCCCATAGCTTCTTTTGTTTCCTAAACAACAAAGTATGACAACATGGTTATTAAGAAAGGAACAGCAGGATTGGAAAGAAATATCCACATAATAAATGATGGTTTGCTTTCATAAAACCAATACTGCTTCAGTAGACATTTGTCATCTTCTAATCTTCATAATTTCTTATGAACATGGCCTTTACAAAATGTATTTTACAGTTAATTTTCGAGAATACTACGAAAGCAAGGTGTGGCAAAATAATCTGATGAAGGATTTAATTAGTGTGGGAAAAGAGTTGTGGATCTAAGGTGACGCAAATCACAAGCTGGCAGAAATCAATGAGTAACGGCAGGTACACTGGCAGCAACATACTGTAGATAGATAAGTCATATAATGTTAATGTAATCACATGACAGAGAAGCGTAGGTGGGAAGAGGGGACACACAAAGAAAGGAGGGGGCAGGGCAGGCATCACAATGACACACCTTCTTCTTAATGCACTATTTCTTGTAACTGCATTGATTGAGCTATAGAAACACGCAGTAGAAACATGGTGTTTCATTCAAGTTTTCCCTATTATTTTCAGGTTCACATGTGTGTGTTGTGCTTCTACTGAGACATGTTAATATGATTTAATGTTCATGTTATTAAAATAACTGACTTTGCTTTGAAAGGAAAAGGTTCAGATGTTAAGTTTTCTTTAATGTTCAGCAGTCTGAAGATATGACTTGAAATTAGCCTAGGCTGGAATCTCATTAAAATGTGTCTTTTAAAATAGTTATTACGAAAAAAGTAACATCACACCCCCAATAAAAAAAGACTAAGCTGGGTTTTTTGCAAGTTTTAAATATACTTTCTTTCAGCTGTAAAAGCTTAAGTGTTCCTGGAGATGCTCGCGTCTCTAAAGCTTTGGCATCGTTTTCATTAGATTTCCTGAGGAGCTCTTTCAGGCATGATTGGCAAAGGACCAAATCCACCTACTGTATAGCCAAGAAGAAAATACCAACACGCCCTGAGCATATACCACCTTAATTATGTGGCTTCTTGTTTGTATACCTTTTAGACATTGCCACACCTCTCCAATACAACAAAAACACATTCCTTAGAGAAAAGGGGTTTTCATTATTATGACAAGAGATAATGCGCAAAAAGCCAATTTTCTTTGTGGTTAAATAATAATTTTCAAATCTTTATTTATCAGAACATTTCATTCTTCTGGCAATACTTGCTTTGTAAAATGGTTTTCTGTAAATAAGATTCAGCAGATTCAGAAACGTTTAGGTTATGTTTAAATAATTAAGTAATTAAATATATTTATTTATGAATCAATCGATTCAAGTTCATTTATATAGCACATAGTGGTCTTTAAAAATATAAAATAAAATAGAAGATAAATATAACTAAATATAACATAAACATAAGAAGTCAGAAGTGTGCAATAATAAGATCAAATCAGAAATATAAACACACAAACTTGTACAGTAAAATGACAATAAAAGATAAATAAAAAAAGTAAAATTTGATATAAACAAAAGAAGTCAGTGTGACTGTCGTTCAGAGAGACAAGTCAAACAGTCTGATGGCCTAAGGCAGAAATGACTTCCTGTGGTGCTCTGTTGTGCATCTTGGGGGAATGACCGTAAGATGAACAGTTCACTTATTGTTTTTTGTAAAGGAGTACAGTGGCAGACTCAGGCTGACTGAGGGGCAGGGGCAGAAAAAAGGGGCACCAAAACATGTGAAGAGTTTACCAGAGGTCATAACAACGATTATCGGCTATGCCAGAAGGACTGTAGCCTGTTATGAATGTATGAGTGAAATGCACGCTGGTAACGTTTCAAAGGTAAAACATGTTTAATGAAGCAGCGTGAAGACTGTTGCCACTAGATGATGTTACATGTCGTGAGCATGTCAAATCAAAGAGTCACTTAGGGAACAAGACCATTAATGTCTCCTCCCCATACTATTTGCATATCTCAGGATCACTGACTTTTTAAACTCTGATGTTGGAAAAACATATCCATTCAATGCAGAAAACTTAATTTTCGTTCACCTGTATCTCTGGTATACTAGTTGAACCTGAAATGAACCTGAAATCAGCAAAATATGAATCCTTTAAGTTTAAGTAAAAATACTGCACACTGGAAATACTCTACTTCAGTAAAAGTCATGCATTGAAAACACTATTCATGTAAAAGTTATAAATATAATCAGATAATGTACTTAAAGTCTCAAAAGTAAGCATTGTGTGACTGCGTGTTATAGCCTACTATGATGTTTTGTAAGTTGTCAGACTTATTAAGGAGAATATAAAATATCTTCTTATGAGATGTTGTGAATATAATGTTGTATACTAAAAAAAAGAAGTAAAAGTAGTCTGCCTTGATTTGTACCCAAGAACGGTAGCTACTTGCGTAGATTTACTCCGTTACTTTCAACCCATGATGACAGTACATGGATCACGTATAACTAGTAGGCTAGGAAGAATTCATAACTTGCAATAGATATTACATTACATTGCATTTAGCTGACGCTTTTATCCAAAGCGACTTACAATAAGTGCATTCGACCAGGAAGATACAACATTGAAGAAAACAGAATCATATAAGTACATCAGGTTTCATAGAGCCAAAACATTTCAAGTGCTACTCAACTGGCTTTAGATAAACCAGTCCTTTATTAGTATATAAGTGCTTTGTTAGAAATTCTTTGTTAGTAATTCTATCGCTCGAAGTGGAGTCGAAAGAGATGAGTTTGCAGTCTGCGCCGGAAGATGTGTAGTATGTAGATGTGTATATTGTTTTTATCGGATATATTCACGTGTTTTCAAATCGGAAATTCGGGAAATCCAAATAATCCGGAAAAGTTACATCCCTGTATTTTGCTATTTGCACAGCTTTGATAAATATGCCCTCTAAACAGATATTACTTTTTCTATTTTTATTCCTGGGAAAACACTGTTGCTGCTACTAGACCTGCAAAACACGCCTCTTTAAAACTGACTTTGTAAACAATACATGGACTCCATCGATTGATCGCGAGGGACAACAACACAGCCATTTGTGCTCATGCCAATGGACAAATTATGCACATGCAATTTATTTCAAATACCTGTGTCGGATCATCTCCGCGAGAAACCACCAGAGCTCCTTGGGCCTGAGTTGGGAGAAAGATGCAAACACAAACCCACAGCAGCATGACTCTCCACGGTGCAGGCATGGCTGGGAAACAGAGGAGCCTCTGCACTGGCATTGCTGAAAACAAGTGAATAGGAATTCGAGGCATGTGGGTATCAAGACTTCCCACAAGACTTTTTACTCCACCCACCCACGCAACTCAGGAGGAGTTCAGTAGTGTGGTGTTATTGAGTGTGTGTGCGTCAGCGCTTCCCGTAACAAGGCCTACTAGTGCATGTGCGGGAAACTCATCAACTCAAATTATACAAATCTAGTCAAGACTTGTTTAGCCAGTGGGAGTTCTTACGTCTGTGTTTACATGTGTTCACTACAAGCTTAAAGGGCATGTGCATAGATTTATGCATTTCTTCTACATTATACAAATATATTGACCATAAGTCTTACAATTATTGCTGTACATGTTGGTATTCTTTAGGTTGAATTAGGACATTTAGATTTTTTTTAAATGAAGAAAGGTTTCAACAATTTGTCCCCCGCTAAGGTAACGTTTATATAAATGATGTGGTTTTGGAGTCCCACAGTAGACCTCACATGAACTGTTACAGAGCTTTTTTCAGAGTTGCGCTGCCTGGAAACTATTTGGATCCCACTAAACATCCTGAGAGATCCTGATACAGCAAACATTTAAACTACGATACAAAAAGCACCAGTGTGGAACTTTGGGATTTTAGCCTTTGCAGCATTTACATGCACATAAACCTAACACTCTACAGTAAAACTATCACACATTTTCAAATAGATCTTTTGAAAAACAGAAAAGGATATAAAGAAATCCAGCTCTAGTCAATCATTAAGAACGGTTTCCCATTTATTTCAGTACAATTTATTTCTGAGGTTTTTCCCACCTCACACTTTTTTGGGATAGTGTCCATTTTTACAAGACCTGGAATTACACTGATAGAGACTGTGAAACTTTCTATACAATGCTGTGAATGAAGTCTGTTTGCCCATGGGAACAAGATGTTGGATCATTCATGGTGTAAAACAGGCATATTTGTTATTGTTTGAATTATTATTTCTTTGATGGACATTGTGTAGCCTAACCTATTTTTAAACAGTTTTAAAAAGGCCTGAAACAACGTAGTCTGTTGCATCTCCATCGATGAGGCCTGTTCCGTTACTGTGAACAAACCAGCAGGGAACATTTTCTCCATTCTTCACATCCTTCCTGAAGTCTCTCTGCCAGCCTCTGTGGACAGAAATGTACACCAAATGATATCTTAACTGCATGTACAAAGCAACATCGATGTATTCATTTTAAAACACTCATTGAATGCTGACTCTCCCCCACTGAGATGAGGCATGTGTTAATGCATGCAGCGTACCTGGTCACATTGAGCTCCCGGCCTTTCACATACATGGTGGCGTCCGGTTTCTCTGGGACTTCCCCCGGACGCAGCTCTGACACCTCATATTCAATCCCATGGTAGAACTGACCTGCAAGACAAATCACCATTTCAAGTAAATATAATTTTAAAATAAAGGTATTTTGGCCCTGTATCCCACCCCCTATTAAAAATAAAAACAACAAGAGGTAGGAGAGTCCAAAACAGTGAAGTCATTTGATAAACCGTACCAATTTAAGCCACTTTAACTTTCACTGACCTTTTTATATTGTATAATATTTTTCCGGTTGCAGGATAAGGTACAATTCTACCTGAGCTGGCAATGCAATGTGTAACCTTTACATTTTGATAATTATTAGTTACCATGTGCACCATATCAGACCAATCATAAAACACAGCGACACATATTATGGAAACATATCCATGGGCTGACTGATTTTATTGGTGTCAATTTATCTTATCATTATCGTTTTTATATTTCGTCTGCTCTGAGGAGAAACCAAAGTATGTTCAGAAATGCAATACCCATCACTTATCTTGACCTGGTATTAAACTATAAACCATGCATCTATTCTCTGATGTGTGTCATGCTGTACCTAACAGGCCGTGAACGACAGGGGACAGGAGGTGGCTGTCCAGGGTGTAGAAACCCAAGTAGTCCCGATGGTACGGATGCTTTGCCCACACTTTGTGGAGCAGGACGACAAACTTGACCGAATCCTTTAGAGTCACCGTTAGGCTGCGATCCTTGGTCAAGAGAAGATCCACACTGGAGGAGAAATAAGAGGAGGAAGTTGCCAGTTATTCCTCCTAAACTGGATGGTATACTTCATTTAACTCATGTAGGAGGATAGTTCTCTTTCACTGAAGGAGAACACCATGTGATGGTGCAGACTCTTACTTGGTTCCTTTGACAGAAGCATTATCGGACCACAGCAGTTTGACCTGTTTGCCGTCCTGGAGCACCACGATGTCCTGAGTGCTCACCTCCAGCCTCACCCCCAGAGACTGGTGGACGATGCCAAAACGCCAAAAGTAGGTGTTAATTTGACCATCAGGGGGAATCATCTTCTCTCCGATGGTCTCACCATTGACCAAAATACCTGAGGGAAAAATGAGGATTGAAGCACTTGTTTCTCAAATGCACAGAGTTACTGCAACATATATGAAAAGAAGGTCTACAGAGAATATTTCTAGTAATGGTGTTTAAAAGTCATGATGATTATCAGGACTTAGGGCGGACCTGGTATTGGGTCTCTGACCAGGTTGAAAATGGTTCCTGGTTTGTTGTTAATGTTGAAGCACAGCGCGTCGTCCCTTTCAGGAAGCTCAATCAAGAAATGAGGATCTCCATCCACTGTAGGGGACAACAGAGTTTAAAGATACCAGTAATAAACAAAAATGATAGTTTACAGCTATGCTAGCAGCTACAGCTATGCTAGTTTACAGCTATGCTAGCAGCTCTGTGAGGCTGTACAAAGGCACAGCAGTGCATTGAGCTAAATGCTAATAGCTGCATGCTAACATGGTCACAATCACAATAGGCTACTAACATTTTATGTTATATGTTAAGCAGGTGTAATGTTTAGCCTATCATGTTGACCATTTCAGTTAAGCAAGTTAGCATGCTAATATTAGCTTGTTAACGATAAACACAATACTCAAAATAATGATAAGATATGTCATTGCAAGCGTAAAGGTTTTGGCCTGATAGTGGCACTAAATGAAAAGTCAGCCATTAGCCGCTTTCACACCAAGTACTTTGCCGTACTTAGTTCCCAGCACTTAGTACCCCCCATGGAACTAAGTACAGATCGCGTTCACACCGGAATACTGTAAGTCCCTGACGTAGCGTCCACACGGCGGCGTGCGTTGAAGCTTGCCGGCGGGCGTGTCTGAAACTCGACCAACAACCAATCACATGAATCTCCCGCCCCGGACACACAAGCACGCGGTTTGATTGGCTAGAGCTTGTACTGGCATATGATTTGATTGGCTGACTCTTCCGTTGAAGCTTCAAAAGTTGAAGCTTCAAAAGTTGAACATTGCTCAACTTTTGAAGCGAGCAACGCGAGCAAAGCGAAGCGACGCTCCCACAATGCAGTTCGGCAAAGCGTGACGTCAACCCATTCAAAGTGAATGGGTAGAAGCGTTGAAGCTTCAACACACGTCGGCCAATCAAATCATATGCCAGTACAAGCTCTAGCCAATCAAACCGCGTGCTTGTGTGTCCGGGGCGGGAGATTCATGTGATTGGTTGTTGGTCAAGTTTCAGACAAGCTCACCGGCAAGCTTCAACGGACGCCCCCGTGTGGACGCTGCGTGAGGGAAGATTACGCAGATGAAGCCGCTGACGTCACTTCTTCTTCTTCTGCTTTGGGTTTACTGGCAGGCCGCAAACAACTTCAAGGCGTATACTGCCACCGGAAGTACCCGGAGTTGGGGACTGGCCAGCAGCTTCTACTGAAGCCTTCAGAGTAAATCGCCAGAACGCCGACACCTCCTGATCACTCCACCGCTCCCATGTTTTTTTTTGTGTTGCCATAAGTTATTCTCTCTCCGTTGGTGCACGGGGCTAATGCTAATGCTAATAATGCTAATGCCAGCAAATACAATGGCGGCTTCACAAAACTTTTCCGAGTTTTACGGGGCGTGGTTTGCAATTCGCCCAGCCATCAGAAATTTGAGCTTTTTTCTCCCCAGGAAAGTACCTGCTCTCTAGCAGGCCCAGGAACTATCGGAACTAAAAGGGAAAAGTACGGGGAAAAGTACTCCGGTGTGAAAGCGCCTATTAAAGGTAGGGTAGGTAATTCACTTCAGAAACACTTTTTGTTATATTCCATGGAATGCTCTTAACATCCCGATAGCAATGAATAAATTAAATGCTTTGACAATAAATATATACAAATATTTAATCTGTGGAAGCCGTGGCTGTAAAAAGCAAGTCCAATTATCTGCCCCGATCCGCGGCAGATAATTGGATGGCCTACCTGCCTGTCAGCCTTCCATCTGTGCACAAACTTATCTCGTACCCTCATTGGTCATGTGCGCGTAAGGAAGTCTGAAGGAAGGGGCAGATTTTTTTTGGTTGTGTACTTTCAAATTCTAGCTTACTCAAGCTGGTTTCTCCACTCTTACCTACCCTACCTTTAACAAAGACATCATCCTCTGAGGACAATAATGTTTGTCCAGAATGTATTGTCAATTTATTTAATAGTTTTGAATATAGACAAACAGACAGACTGACATTGCCATCCCAAGATCTGCAGCTGCCATTGCTACAAATGTACTTACCTAAATATGTGGGTGTTGAATGGTAATAATTTGAAAGAGGTCGGAGGGCTGCAACCTGTGGATATCTTTGATATCCTAGAGACAGTAACAAAAAAAAGTTTTAAATCAATAGCCTACAGTGAATTCACTTAAGTCAATTAATATAATGTTATAAATACTGCCTTACCAACTCGTTCTTCCTTTTGTCTTTGCTCTGTCAAAAATTCACATTTCAAACACAATGAGTAAAGACTAATAGTCAGTGATGCTTGAGAATGATTTAAGGTCATGTTTTGTTTGTAGATTCCTAGCAGCCATGTGAGGTTGGCCTATCACATTTGAAACCCTCTTTTCCCCACCTTACCCTCAGTCAGTTTATCTGCAATGAAAGGGCTGTCTGGTCCATCCTCAGTGTCAGGCTTGGTGACCACCATGGAGGTGAAAGGCGTGACGAAGCTGTATTTTAGAGAC